GCCGGCTCTCGCCCAGCTGCGCTCCCCGCCGGCCGGGCCCTCGATCCCTATGGGAACCGGTCCCCGCTCTGGGCTGGCCTGGGCGGGGCCGCCGCGCCCGGGTTTCCCTCCTGGACCTGGCCGCAGTCCTAGCTGCAGGGAAGGGCTCTGGTGGGTGGCCTCGGTCCCTGAAGGAGCTGTTCAGACAGTGGGCCTGGGGCCCTGCACGTCCTTCTGCCGGGAGAGGAGGCTGGCAAGATTGCAAATTCCAGCAGGTCGGGAAAAACGCAGCCGTAGCGAAGTGCTGGGGAGACGCCTGCGCTAGGAGTCCCCCTCAACCCCCATGCAGTCTCTACTGCACGGGCATAGCCGGTCCCACACCGTGTAACAAACTCTAATTACTCTCCTGTATTCTCTGCTATGCTTGAGGGCAGCTTCTGTGTCTGTCCTGATCAGTGACCTAGCATCCAGTGAATGAATGAATGAATGAATGCATGAATGCATGAATGAATGAATGAAAGACAGGGAGAGAAAGGCGAAGGAAGTCAGCACTTCCCTCTACTGGCTTGGACGGTGAAGGTGCCCCTTGACCACTGACTTGCACTACAAATGGGCCCTCTCATGTGGGAGATGAAGGTTTACAGAGCCTGCATCCATAGCCCAACTGGCTCCTACTCGCTCAGGTCTGTGCACAATGGTAGGAAGTTAATGGATCTGGGGAAATCATGAAATAAGGTAATTTGCCACTGGGCAGATTGCCTCAATACTTTATTATCTATCCCATTCCATCTTCCCAGCACTGAGGTGGGTGTTTGCCCTGGAAACAATATCTGAGGAGGAAAAATTAACAAACTGTCTATGAAACAGGGACCAATCCCATGCCAAGCAGCATGCCACTAAATGTAAATCTGTCTCATATAGCAGCGGAACTGGGAGGAGAGGGATTGGTGACTGCCTTGAAAATGAAGTAGATGGGATCCTGGAGTGGACTAGATATCACCTGTGAACCACCAGTAACTGTTTGAAAATGGCAGCTACTGATGGGTTTTCTGTCTCTATAGTTTTGCCTTTTCTAGAATGTCATATAAATGGAATTATATATTATATAACCGTTTGAGCTAAGCTTCTTTCACTTAACATGATGATTTGAGATTCATCCATCTTGTTGCATGTATCAGTATTTCATTCCTTTTTATTACTACTGAGTAATATTCCATTGTATGGCTGTGCCATAATCTTGTTTATCCATTCCAAGTTGAAGAACATTAGAGTTGTTCCCAGTTTTGATGATTATAAACCAAACCACTATAAACATTCATGCATGGTCTTTTGTGTGAACATCTGTTTTCATTTCTTTTGGAAAAACAATACTTAGGAGGAGCACTCCTGGATCATATGATAAGTATATGTTATTGTAAGTCACTCCAAAATGTTTTCAAAGAGGCTACTATTTTACATTCCTGTCAGCAATGTTCCAATTACTCTGCATCTTTGTCAGCACTTAGTATGTCAGTTCTTTTAATTCCAACCATTCTAATTGGTGGATAATGGTCTTGTGGCTTTAATTTGCCTTTCCCTAATGACTAACGTTGAACAGTTTTTCATATGCTTATTTGCCATCAGGATGTTTTCTCACTTATAAATTCTAGGAAGTTTTTATATATTCCTTGGGATTTTCTATGTAGACAAGCATGTCATCGGCAAATAGGGGCAGTTTTAGTTCTTCCTAACTGGTATACTTTTTATTTCTTTTTCTTGCCTTATTGCACTTGATAGTTCTTCCAGTATGATCTCAAATAGGAGTAGGAAGAGTAAATATCCTTATTACTGATTTTAGGATGAAAGCATTCAATCTTGCCCCTCTAGATATAATGCTAACTAGATTTCTTTGTGGTAGGCAGCCTCTAAGATGGCCCTTACTGATCCCTGCCTCCTGATGGTCATGCCCTTATGTGCTCCCCTTCCCTTCAGTATACACTTGACCTAGTGACTTGCTTCTAAGGAATGGAATATGGCAAAAGTAATGTAATAGCACTTCTGAGGTTAGGTTACAGAGAGACTGTGATTTTCACCTGGCGAACTCTTTTATGCTCTCTTGCTTGCTTTCTCTGAGGGAGTACAGATGCCATGTTGTGAGCTGCCCTATAGCAAGGAACTGAGGAAGCCAATAGCCATTAAGAACTTAGGCACTCAGTCCAATATTCCATGAGAAATTAAATCCTGCCAACAACTATGACTGAACTTGGAAGTAGACCTCCCCTCCATCTCTCCTTCTACCACTTCTAGTGAGCCTTCAGATGAGACTGTAGCCCCAGCTGAAAAACATAAGTTCAACCTTATGAGAGACACTGATCCAGAGGCACCTAGCTAAGTCATATCTGAATTCCTGACCCCCAGAAACTGTGAGATAATAAATGTTTGATATTTATGGTTTAGGGTTATTTGTTGTGCAGCCAATAGAACTAATACAGAAGCCCTTTATTAGACTGAGAAAGTTCATTTTAATTCCAATTTGCTGAGGTTTTTTTTTTTTTAGTAATGGATCGATGTTGAATTTTGTCAAATGCTTTTCTATATTGAGATGATCATATGATTTTTCTTAAGTCTGTTGATGTAGTGAATTACATTTAATTTTTAAATGTTGAAACCAGCCTTGCATTTCTGAGATAAAACCAACTTGATTATTATATTCTATCATTTTTCTACGTTGCTGGAGTTGATTAGTAATACTTTTTTTAAAATAATAATTTTTTTATTTTTCAATTACAGTTGGCATACAATATTATATTAGTTTCAGGTATACAACACAGTGATTAGACATTTATGTAACTTACTAAGTGATCACCCATCTGACACCATACATAGTTATTACAATATTATTGCCTATATTTCCTATGCTGTACTTTACATTCTCATGACCATTCTGTAACTACCAATTTATACTTTTTTTTTTTTACTTTATTTTTAAAATTATTTTATATTAGTTTCAGGTATACGGTACAATGTTTAGACATTTATATAATTTATAAAGTGATCCCCCTGATTACTCTAGCACCCATCTGACACTACACATAGCCATTACAATTATATTGACTATATTCCCTATGCTGTGCTCTACATCCCCGTGACTGTTCTGTAGCTACTAATTTGTACTTATTCATCCCTTCACTTTTTTCACCCAGTCTCCCAACTCCCTGGCAATCACCAGTTTGTTCTTTGTATCTGCGAATCTGTTTTCATTTAGTTTGTTTTTTTTGTTTCTTAGATTCCGCATATAAGTGAAATCATATGGTATTTATTTTTCTCTCTCTGGGTCCATCCATGTTACTGTAAATGATAAGATTTCATTTTTTTTTTAATGGCTGAGTAATGTTTCATTGTATGTATGTACCATAGTTCTTTATCCAGGCATCAATTGATGGGCACTTAGGGTGTTTCCATATCTTCGCTATTGTGGTTAATAATACCTTATTGAGGATTTTTGCATTAATTTTACTGTGACATACTGATCTGTAGTTTTCTTTTTGTGTAATGTCTTTGTCTAGTTTTGGTAACACAGTAATGCTGATCTCATAAAATGAGTTGGGAAGTGGTTTCCCCCACCCTTATATTCTGTAGAAGTTTACATTAAATTGATATTATTTATTCCTTAAATGTTTGGTAGAATTTGCCAGTAAAGCAACCTGAGCTTAGAGTTTCTATTGCTGAAATATTTTTAATTACAAATTCTATTTCTTTAATAAAATATAGGACTGTTCAGGATATGTTTCTTCTCAAGTGAGCTTTGGTAGTTTGTGTCTGTCAAGGAATTTGTCTATTTTATTGAATTTATAGGCATAAAGTTGTTCATATAGAATAACATTACACTGTTATCTTTTTGTGTCTACAGGATATATAGTAGTGCTCCCTATGTCATTCTTGATATTCGTAAATTTTTCCTGATCATTTCGACTAAGGCTTTTCAATTTTATTGATCTTTTAAAAGAAACATCTTTAATTTAATTGATTTCCTCTATGTTTTTTCTGGTTTTCAATTTTGTTGATTTAATTGCTCTATTATTTTTTCCTTCTGCTTGCTTTGTTTTTAGGTGCTTTTTCTTGTTGTTGTTTTTTTTTTAAGATGGAAGCTTAGACAATTACTTTTAGATCTTTCTTCTTTTATAATATAAGCCTTTAGTGCCATAAATTTTCCTCCAAGCACCACCTTAAATGTATTCCCCAAATTTTGATATGTGGTATTTTCATTTTCATTCAGCTCAAAATATTTTCTAATTTCCCTCGTGACTTCCTATTTGACCCATGGGTTATTTTGAAGTGTGTTGTTTAATTTCCAACTATTTGGGGATTTTCCAGATATCTTTCTGTTACTGGTTTCTAATTGAATTCCATTGTTTATAGAGAAATACTTTTATATGATTTAAATTATTTGAAATGTACTGAGGTTTGTTTTATGGCCCAGAATATGGTATATGTTGAATGTTTCTTTTTGACAATTAAAAATTGTCTGGCCATAGTACTTATAACACAGAGCTGAGAAAGTCAACATGAATTTCTCCAGAGCTACCTTGTCTGAAGTTCATACCAGGTTAAAGTTAGTCTGTAA